AAAATTGATTTATGAAAATATAATATAACTTTCGAAAATTTATTTTAAAAAATTATGCTGTCGTTTTTGGATATGGATTTCCCAAAGTTACATTTTAGAAAATCTATTTCCTGGAGTTATAATTTTGAAAAAACAATATAATTTTTGGAAATCTATTTTTGATATTTATGAAAGTAGTTTTGGCGTGTATAAACTATTGAGGGTATTTTTATCATTTAATAAAAATTAAATTGATATTTGTTATGTATTTAGAAGCTCCCAATTAGAAATCATTTAATTACATACCTACAATTGCATTTAATACAAAAATTGTAATACCTGGTCTTATAAAGCCCAACAAATGTTAAATTGGACACTTGGTTATTAGCTTATGAGTTTTATTAAAGTAAAAAATAATAATAAAAGGAGGAGAAAAACTAAGAAAACCTATCAGCAGTTTTTTTTCCTCATTAGTTTTCTCTGCCAATAGAACAAAACAACTTGGGAAATTGAAGTAGACCTAGAGAAGTAGAAGTGAGGTTGGAATTTGAAATTTTAGTCTCCTAATTGATAGAATAAGTAAGATTAGTCTTTTAATTTGTTTAATTTTGGTGTTTATGAAAAATACACAAGTATTAATTTAGGGCTTTTTTTTTTTTAAAATTTCATGTCAACCTTCTAATGGTTTTTGGTGGCATATTTGGTATATTTGGTATTGATTGAAAGCTCTCTTAAAGATCTTTACAATGGTTTTTATAGCACCTAATTTGTTTTTCTATTTTGAAAGTTGTGAATTTTTTAAGTTGTGAAAAAATAGATGTTTGACAATTTTGATGACTCTAACTTTGAGTTTCCAAAACTCTTGACATTTCAATAACCTTTTTTGATTAATTCTTTGAGGGTTTTTTCCAATATGAAATGTGATCCTTATAGTAGTATATTTTGTTTGGTCACATGAGTTATACACCGAGAGAACCAAAGACTTAAAATTAGCTTTATGAATTTAAAAATTTTAAAAATTTAAGTTGTTTGTGATAGATTTTCAAAATTTTGACCTTTAACTTAAGTTTTTGAAAATCATTTCTTTTGAAACAAAATTCTAAGTTGTAGTTTAACATCCTACTTTAAATTGTTACTTTTTTTTTTTGTTACTAGAAACTACAGTATGCTAGATATTTTGTGGTTCAAAATAAATCAAATGATCATAAAATATTAAAATTTTAGAATTTAAAATATTGTGTTTTTATATTTTAAAAATTGTTTTTTTTTTCAATAATCGATCTAAAATATTATAAACAATAAAAATTTTGATTATTTGAATTTTATTTATTTTTGGTTAAATAAATATATTTCGGGAAATTATCTTTGAAGTGATGCTATTTTGAAAATTTTTTTCTTTAAGAAAAATATAAAAAATTAAATCTTCATCCATATTAAGATTATTTTCCTTGAGAAATTATTTTTATTATTGAATTTTTGTTTTAGTTTCTAATTTTTTATTTTTAATACATTTTTAGATATTTTCATAACACAAAAAATTGATCTAATTTTGAAATATATTTTCAAAATAATTTTGTTTGTAAGGGAGGTTATTAACACATACCCTAAGTGTTCTAGAAAAATCAAGAAAAATCAACAGAGAATCTCGATTTTGTTTTGATAATTTAGTAGCATTAATTTATGATATTGAGCATTTTGAAATAATAGACTTTGAGAGGTTTGGAATGTTTTACTTTTTTGTTTCGGTTCTAACAAGATAAGGTAAGTGATTTGACCTTTTTTTTATATTTTATTTCCTGAAAATTAGCTTCATTATGTTTAGATTTTATATATGTAAGACATAATACTCTATCTTTTTGTTTGTAAATCGTGTTAAGCATGCAAAATAAATATATAATTTCCTTATTATTAATTTGAAATATAATTTTGATATTGCTTTGATCTCCGATTTTGATTTTGTAATAATATATTTTTATATTCATCGATTTTTAAAATATAAAATTTTATTTTGAAATGATATATGAAATTTATTGTGTTCTAATTATGTTTTTAAAAAGTATATGGATATTAAATTCATATATATTGAGTATTCCAAAATAAGTTTTCTTTTTTGTCTATAATATGACTATGTATTAACTATGTCAATGGAGGTTAATTGTTGGTAATGTTGACATATACTACGTGATTTAAAAAATGATTTAAAATATTATCACCGATTGATAATAATAATTTTTGTTCATTGTGCTACTAGTGATATATTGTTGTCATATTACACTAACAGAGAATTGTGATTTTGGTTCTGTTTAGTGCAATTGTTCGATTGTTTCTTATATATTTTTATCTCATTGCATTAAGAGATAATTATGATTTTTTTTCTGATTTTGACCGATGCCACATAAGTTGAGTGTGATTGTAGTATGTTAAGAAAGACAAATAAAACTTATAATTTTATGATATTTTGTTTCACTTTATTTATCTGAAAGCATAATTGCTAAAAATATGTTTATAAATTCAATATTACCTAACAATATTTTCGAATCTTATAATTAATATTTTGACATAAATATTTTGTAGCATGCTTAATCCAATTAAAAAAATGTCGGTTATTTGCTGAGTCATTATACTTATTATTATTATTTTTTAATTTTGATTGTATCTTTGGAGGTTTAATTTTGATGACCACTTGGATTAACAAGATTAACATTTGTCCTTGTTATAGCTTTTGAAGTGACTATTTTGTTATCAATATTAAAGGATTTGTTAGTAAAAATTTTAGTAAATTCGATTCATGTGTAAAGTGTATAATTTTGGAGACTTTATATTTTGTTAACCATTAATTTGAAAGTTATTGGAGATTTCAAATTTTGATTTAGTTTGAAATTTATTATCTTACATGCTTATGCTTATGAGGTTCATCTCATGAATGTGTAATGTTGTGAAATCTTAAATTCTTTCAATTCGAGATGTGACAAAAAAATAATACTATAATTGGTAATTTAACTAACTTTAAAGAGTGCCTAAGGATAGTCGATAACAAAACCCTCTTATTAATTATCTGGAATATTGCAGATTTTAGAACAAATTGAACCCTAAGTCTATGAATGGACATCTAAGCACCGAGGGAGTATCAGTGCTGAACATGGCCCGGGATTGATGAAAGCTAACAAGATTTATTACAACAAATCTCCTGAAACTGTGGGTCTTTTTTTTTTAAAACGACAGGTACTACAAATTTCTGTTTGCTGGTTTCTTTTCTGGGAGTTGATGGTTGCTTCATGAAGAGTGTCTAAAAAGAGAATCTGTTTGGATAGGTACAGATAATGGGTTCCATCAAAAAGTTACTTGAACCCAATGATAGTCAACCCCCATAAAGTTCTTCCACACTCACTCAATCCATAGTCCTGGGGCTGGAAACACGGCCCTTGAACCCTTCCTCTCATTTCAAAATTTAAAAGAATCTCATACAACTTTAGAATATGTGAAGGAAAAGATGACATGAGATGAAAATGGGAAAAGGGGGGCCAAGCAAATTTCCATGAAGAATATTGATCTAGCAACCAAAGGGCATCTCTTCTGATATTATCCAAAACATTGGATAAGAGATTGAAACGTGTAACGATGCAGGTGAATAACACTGAAAAACAATTTAAACTTCATTGCACCAGCAAAATGTTTTTTGTAATGTCATATTCTATTCAAGTTGACTGTTGATGTCTTTTGAATCTTTCTTATTGTGCTAGCAGCAAGAAATTGAAGATCCAACGGCTAGAAAACATTTAGCCAACTGCATCATCCTGGAGCGAAGGCAGCCAACAGCTAAGCATTTCTTCAGTTTTCCTTTAACCCCAGCCAATATATTTAGGTAACCTACATTTTTTCCCCAGATGGTTTTTTCACATCTGAAATGAAACTATTAGTGTTGGTTGTACTTGTAGAACATCCTTAATTAATTTGTTTAATGTTGTAAAGCAGAATATGTTATAGTGGGTTTGACATCTGGGTATTGCCAAACCCATCTTTATCCAAAAGGAACAAATTGTTGCAAAGGAAAGGAAAGGAAAGCATTCACTTAGCAAGGCTGGAATATGCTTAATCCTGATTTGCCATTTCAAAAGATTCTTAAATGAAAAAATGAGAACAGACGTTGGAGGAGTCAAAGAAGTGGGCATATACCTGCCGAAAGAGAAAGATGAGATCCTCCTACATTGATTTTTCCTAGTTGCTGTCGTTGGATAAGAAATTAAGAAGGAATAGCAGTATTGCAAAAAAGAATAAAAAAACTAATATTTGTAGAAAAGAAAGAAGGAGACACAGGAAAAAGGGCATTTAGCCTTTTTTTTCTCTAATCTACAACCAAAATCTGCCTTTGAAGTTCGACCCACTAGCCAGTACACGTATCTGTTGGCATTGCTATGCTATGCAAAAAGCTGGTTTTGTAATAAGAAATGAAGTGCCGTTGATATTTTCTAGCTTTAGGGTTTTAGCATTTAGCTGGCTTTGAGTTAGACATGCAATTAAAGAACCTATAACAAAGTTTTTAAACTTCACAAAATTTTCATTATTCAGAAAAAAAATAAGTATAAACTTTGCTCTTTAAACACGAAATTATCATCATGTGTCAATTAATCAAATGCAAATATGCTAAACTTCATGATCTTTATATTTAACCATCTATATGTAAAATAATAATCTCTAAAATTAATGCCAAGTAGAGATTATATTAACTTTGGCACAATTTAATTAACTTTCATTCTTAATTTCTCATTTATTTATCTAATTAATCACTTCATAATTATTTCAACTTAACAGCTTACACTTCCTACCATGATAAAAAGACAATTGAACCATCTTCAATACATTGGGAGATTTTATTGTTAAACATCCAAGATTAGGATAATCAATAAAAAAAAAAAGAAGTACTATATTAATAAGAGATTGCATAACCGACGTCGTTTAAGTGAGTGTTGAAACATTTTGAGTATAAAAGAGACCTTGTCGAAATGAAAAACCACCTCAACAAAAGTAAGCCATCCATTAAGGAAAAGACTCTGAGAGAGAGAGAGAGAGAGAGAGAGAGAGAGGAGGGGTAACGGTGGGGAACACAAAGAGGGTCAATACCTCATAAACCGTCGCTCTTGCTTTAGGTTTCTCTTTCTTTTCTTTCTTTCGTCAAAACAGAAGGAAACGAAAAATCACTCCCTTTGTGTTGCTCTTTCTCAAAAACACTTTCTTTCATTCATTGTTGATTGATATTTCTTTTGTTTTTTGTTTTTCTTTTTATTTTTTATTTCGAAGACTCTCAGAGAGGGCCCAAAAAACAATAGCCAAAAGGCCACAAAAGCATGGGCAGCTCCTCCGCCTCCTCTCGCAAGGTTCGCTTCCTCCTCTCTCACTTCACTTTCTTTCTCTTTTATCATTTTCGTTTTGGTTTGAATTAATTTTATGGTTATTTGATTTGGTGCGTTTAGGCGCTGAGTAAGATAGCGTGTAACCGGCTGCAAAAAGAGCTGGTTGAGTGGCAGGGCAACCCTCTTTCCGGTTTCAAACACAAAGTCACTGATAATCTCCAAAGGTTTTAGATTGTTTACCTCTGTTTTTAGATCTTCTGCTTCCCGCCGTTGATACCTTCTTCTTCCTTTTTTTTTTCTAAATTAATTAATTTTTTTAAAAGGTGGGCAATTGAAGTAAATGGAGCTCCCGGAACATTGTACGCTAATGAAACCTATCAACTTCAGGTGGATTTCCCTGAACATTACCCTATGGAAGCACCCCAGGTTTAATTTTTATTCAAAAACCCATTTTTAATATTCATATTTTTCAAGCTTGTGTCTTTTCATATATATTATTTTGCGCTTCTCTTTCGTTTCTTTTTATTTTTGGGTTGTCGGTGGCAGGTGATATTTCTTCAGCCGGCCCCTCTCCATCCACATATTTATAGCAATGGCCATATTTGTTTAGGTAAGAATTTATATTAATTTTCCATAAAAATTCTCTTTTTTTTAGTGATTTTCGATTCCTCTTAGGTTTTCATAGATTTTTATCTTTTATATAAATATATATTGCAATTGATATGCCATGATCTGATTTGTCCCTTTGCTTTCATCTTAATTTTTATCCATTTATCCTTTGAAAGTGATTTTTTTTTTTTTGAAACTGTTGCCTCCATTTGTTGTTACCTTTAAAAGTGTTTTCCTTTACATTCTTAAAAGGATCTTTGATGTTTATGTGAGATTATTTTCACTGATATTTGGATATTATTGTATCATGTATCTATCTTCCTATCATTTTCACCAAAATATATACTATATGGAAAAAGGTAGAAGTCCAATTTTTGTCTCCAAATATTTACTATAACTGGTAACTGAAAACCCTTGTTAGCTTTGTCTTAAACATTGTATAATAATAGGGAAAACAAAAGGGAAAAAGAAAGTTATAGATGGTAGCTTTAAGTGAGCAGTATAAATGTTCTTCCCTTTGTCGTGAGCTTTGTGAGACTTACACAGAAACTGATTTTCCTGTATGGGGTTTTCTCTGTAATGAGATGTTTGAGAACTATAATCTAGCTTTTTCCTTCTCGTTCCTGGCCGTGGGGTGATGCTATTGTTCTGTTACAGTAATGGGTGATCTTAGGTTATTTCTGCATCATTATCTTGACGCACATAGCTTCATTCACAAGGTTGTGACTTGCTTTTAATTCTTTTTGTGGTTTCTTCAACCGGACAAGGTGGGGATAGCAATGGCTTGGGAAATGAGCTAATGATAATGTCTTATTTTTCCTACTTGCTGTGCCTTTCCAACATTGTTTGCCAAATTCCAAGCATAGCTGATTTTGTTAATTTAACAAATATTTGTAAAATTCAGATGTTTTCTCTCTCTCTCTCTCTCTCTCTCTCTCATACACACACAAACACACACTTGCACACATGCATGCACATATAGTAATGTTGCTCAATTTCCACATGTATGTGCTTTCGCTATGTTTTATTGCATAACTTGAGACAAGACAAACAGATAATACATGATTGTTCCATTGTATTTTGCAGATATCCTATATGATTCATGGTCCCCTGCCATGACAGTTAGTTCCATCTGTATCAGCATTCTCTCCATGCTATCAAGCTCAACTGTGAAGGTTTGATTAGACATTCAATTGATTCTCTGGGTGCTTTGTTATTCCACTCTTTCTTCAAGTCATTCTTGTTCAGCATCTGTGTCATGCATAGGGCATACTGCCAATTTTTTATTTGTGGCTCAAATTTCCTAACTGGGAATTGGCACTGCTGTTTTTGTAAATGATGGGCATGTCCTAAATGATTCCAGATGACATGATGATATTTGCAAATGAGGGCGATTGTTATCTTATTTTTGTTTTTTTAAATCCACAACTCCTTTTAATACTCTTAACCATGCCTGCAGCAATGCCCTGAAGACAACGATCGCTATGTAAAGAACTGTAGAAATGGCCGATCTCCCAAGCAGACCAGGTGGTGGTTCCATGATGACAAAGTTTAACAGCAGGAGTATCTTCCTGTATCAATTAGTTTAATAACTAGATTAGACAAACAGCTTTCACTTTTAAGGAAAATTGAAACAAAAGGAGAAAGCATTTTCCCAATCAAAGTTAAATGCTCAATAACTCCTGCAAAATGTTATGCTGGTATTTCATAAAAGAGAAAAGTCAGTCTTTGTTTAGCAACTTGTAAGGAACATGCTTACTCAGCTAATGGTGTTTAACACGTGCGAGAGAAGCTTGGTGCACTGTGAGCACATGAATGAGAAACTTTATCATTCTGAAACTAGTTTCTGAATATTGTGAGTTCTATGATTATAACTTGGCAGCTGATGGAACTAATGGTTCATCCAAAGCTGAAATATGGGTCTTGTTTTAGAGCGTTATATGTGCTGGATCACTATCATTTGAAATCACTGTTTATATATGCTGTGGTGAGTCGTCGATTTGTAAACATTGTAAAAGTTGCAGGGAATGACCAAGTTTTAAGTAATTACGATTCCAGGGTCCTAGAATTGGTTTCTTATTGGTTCCAAAACTCTGAAAACCTTCAATGCATGGTAACCATATCTCATTCAAGATAAAATTTTCATTAGGAATCGACCACTACTAGAACTTGGGTTCTAATTTTGTCTAATTTCAAGTGGACAAGCCTTTTTCTACCCTTCTCAGCCGGTGGTAATGCTCTTGCATTTGTTCAGATGATGTAACTTCTGTTTTTGTTGCCTAAGAATCCCAAAATAAATAGAAACGGACCGACCCTGACGGCCCATATTTATAGTACGTTTGGATTGAAGTAAGAGTAAAAAAAAGAAAGGAATGGAAAGGAAAAAAAAAAAGAAAAAATTTTTTTATTTGTATATGACATAAATAAAAATAATAAAAAAAAAGATATACTTAACTCTCCTTGATTTCCCTCAATTTTCTTTGTTTTTTAATTACTCCAAATTGCAGGAAAATGAAGGGAAAGGAAAAGAATAAAATTCTTAAAATATAAAATAACTATTATATCGTTATTAATTTTTTTAAATTAAAAATATATGATTTTGAATTTCAAAATTAAATTAAGAATACAAAATAGCATTTACTAATAAATTTATTGTCTCTAATTTTTTTCTCTTATTTTTATAAATTTGATTATTTTTATGAAAAAATAAAAAAAATTGAAAACATAAAATACGTTAACATAAATATATAAATGTTATAGTAAAAATAAAAATTATCAAAGAGTGTAATAAAAAAAATAATATAATAAGTCATTTCGTTTCCTTTCCATTATTTAATCAAATAATAATTGTTAGGATTTTTTTATTTTTTTTTCTTTATTAATTTTAGCTGTTCAAATAAAGAGTACATATATATTTTTTTCTTTAAAAAACTTTCTTTATCTTTGCTTTGCTTTTTTTTTTTTTACTAATGTTTATCTAAATATAGTGTAAATAATGGTTCAAATAATAAAAAGAGTATTTTTTTTAGTTAGAATTGTTGGTTCAAATGATAAAAAGATAGTACCTTTCTCGAGTTAGAAATGCTAGTTCAAATGATAAAAAGCTTGTACTTTTCTTTTAGAGTTAGAACGGTTGAGGTGTAAGGCTAATTCAAACAACAAAAAGAATATTTTTCTTTTGAATTAAAATCCGTTAAGAGATTGTAAAAAATTAATTTTTTTTATAAATTTATTAAATTTGACGTAAAACTTAGTAAGACCTTTATAAGAATTTGCTAAGTTCAACAAAAATAAATATCATTGGGCCAATCTAGAAAGGGATTTAGTCAAAAACCCTTACCGCTAAAAAAATGGTGAATCAACAGTTACAGTTCTAAAACGTATTCTGCAAAATGCAATGCATTTTTAACTGCTTCCAGGAGCCAGGACTATGTGTGGTACAATATAAAAAGAAAGTCCACGGCTGGTTACGTGATTGGAAAACTGCGGTTAGACTATGATTGCTCGATATTCTTGCGCTGCAAGCAAGTTACACACGTTAACTTCCCATTGGTCTTTTATTTTTCATTTTTAATTGTAGGAGTAATCTAATCTAATGTCACCTTTGTCTAATTTCTAAGTTTCCAATTTTGACTTTTACCTTCAAACACACTAACTTCCTCATTAATTTTTTCATAGTATTAGTCAACCAGACTGGTCATTACTGAACAGCACTCGGCTGCTCTTATCCTTTTTCCCTGAGATTGAAAGAAAAGCGAAGGACCATGAATGAAGTGAGTCATCAAAGGATAAAAACAAATGGGATATGGCTGCACGTAGCGGAGCAAGGGACAGGACCACTAGTTTTATTGCTTCATGGCTTCCCAGAAATATGGTATTCATGGCGCCACCAGATCACTTTCTTGGCTAGCCATGGCTACCATGTAGTTGCTCCTGATTTAAGAGGCTATGGAGACTCGGATTCCCCTCTTAGCCCCAGCTCTTACACTGTTATGCACCTTGTTGGGGACATCATTGGCCTGCTTGACCATTTTGGGGAACAACAGGTATTTCCACTTTCCATAAACTCATGAACATGGCACATATTTTCCAATTGTGTTGTCTAAAAAATCAAAGTTCTTAACTGTTTTGAGTTCATTATTTATGGCAAGGCTTTTGTTGTGGGACATGACTGGGGAGCTGTTATTGGTTGGCATTTATGCCTGTTTAGGCCTGAGAGAGTCAAAGGATTGATCAATTTATCTGTTCCATACTTTGGTAGAAACCCGGAAGCCAAATATGGTGAATCCTTAATTAGAACATTTGGAGATGGGTTTTATATCTCCCAATTCCAGGTAACTTCTCTGTCTGTTCAATCAAGAGTCATGACTTGCATGTTCATAAGGATGTTATACTAATCACTGCTTTGGGGGTATTTGTTCAATAGGAACCGGGAAGAACAGAGAGGGCATTTGCCAGGTACGATTATTTGACAGTGATGAAGAAGTTCTTGCTAATGACACAGACTGATAATCTGATAGCTCCTCCTGGCATGGAGATTATCGATTATCTTGAGACACCGTCATGGTTACCACCATGGATTACTGAAGAGGAGCTCCAGGTTTACGCGGACAAGTTTCAAGAATCTGGTTTCACTGGTGCTTTTAATTACTACCGTGCTATGGACTTGTAAGTTTCAGCCTTCCTTTGGGATTGTCAGCCTCAAGAATCAAGTTATATTATTTTGCTTAGAAATCTTTATCAGAAATGATTGACTTCATATCTCTGAATGTTTTTCCGCACTGAACTAACGTTCAAATTGGTAACAGGAATTGGGAGCTCACTGCACCATGGCAAGGATCAGAAATTACGGTTCCAGTCAAATTCCTAGTGGGTGACAATGACCTGGGTTTTGAAGCCAGCGGTATAAGAGAATACGTAGAGGGAAACGTGTTCAGGAGCCTTGTTCCCAACCTCGAAGTCGTTATTCTAAATGGTCATCATTTTCTCCAACAAGAAAAACACCAAGAAGTTTCGGAGGAAATTCTATCCTTTCTTCACAAATTTCCTGCAGAGTAGCAGACTTCTCTGGTTTTGCATTTTACTGGGAAATTAGGCTTATATGACTAGTCTTGATTTATTGTTTTCCTCTGTATACTCGTCTTGTATGGTTCTAGAGTAGAAAGGTATTTCCAATTACCTTAAATAAATAAGCAAGTTAATCTCAGTATGAAACTTCACAGACATTGAATAAAGCTCTACCCCACTTTAATAAAGCCTTTGATTGTCCACGGGAAATTTAACACCAAACAGCTGGAAATGTCCTAGATAAACATTAATTTTGTTATTTTCTGATCTATTTGTTTGATTGGTGAACTTTAAAATATTATTCTTAATTGTTTGTTAAATTTAATAAATAAATAAAAATAAACTTTATTTACTAATTGTTTGTCTATCCATTTATATTTTTAAGTATAAACACAAACAAATTTTATTATGTTTATGATTTATTTATTTAATTAATGAACTCAAAAATATTATTAATAATTATTTATTAAATTTAATAGACGAACAAAGAACTTATTTGCGAACCGATAGTAAAACGTTTCGTTCGTTTACAAGTATGCAACAGAGTTAAAAATTACTTCGACAATTCACAGTTAAGGCTTATCTGATAAATGATGACTCGGAAAGTTTACGCAAATATGAAAAAGGTAATCAATTTGCAAACACAACCATTGATTATAACCAAGCTCCTAGCCAGATGGAAAGAAAAGACAAGATTGCGCATCTTTCCCACCTCCATATATAGCTATCTCCATTTCTAGAAGACGAATGCACAAAGTCAATGGTTTTTGAGCGTGTAAGGACAAAGGAAAAGTAGAAGAAATACAGAGAATAGAGTAGTTTACACATTTGGCCTATTTGAAAAGGTCTATGAAAAAACAAAAACCAATTGATTAATACTATTTTTTAAGAGATTCTGTAAACCTCAGGGAAATTTCTGTCAAAGAAAGTTGGGACCTGAGGTGGAAACTGCATAGTTGAATAATGATCCCCTAGGAGCACCTAAATTTCGGTGAATGCGAATGGAAGCTGGCAAGGAAACTTCATCTGATACCAATATGTAAGTGTTAATAGGACTTCTACTGGAGAAGGAAGTAGCTCTTTCCACATTTTCACAAACAGAAACAAGAAGAAGAGGCAGATAACGAGACAGAGAGATGGCAGAGTTTGCTGTTTCCTTAGTTGTGGAAAAGCTTACAAACTTACTGGCACAAGAAGCAGCATACTTGGACGGGGTTAACCAAAAAATTGTGCAACTGAGTAACGAACTGAGGTGGATGCAAAGTTTTCTGAAGGAAGCAGACATGAAGCAAGAAGACAATGAATTGATGCAACAATGGGTGTCTGATATTAGAGATGTGGCCTACGACACAGAGGAAGTAATAGAAACATATGTTTCCAGGGCGGCATCTCAAAATACATTTGATTTAGTCACCAAACCATTTTATCTGTACAAGGTGGGGAGGAAGATTGAAAGTATTCGATCTAGGATTCGTGAAATATCTGGCAGACGAGAAACTTATGGTGTTGTGAGAAATGGTAGAAGTGCAAGAGAGGGAAGTGATGCAAATGAAAGGCTGAGATGGTGGAGACAGCCATCACCCCACGTTGAGGAGGATGATATTATTGAACTAGTGGAAGACACAAAAGCGTTGCTTACACAACTAACTAGCATGGAGTCAAGGCGCCGTGTGGTTTCTATTGTGGGTATGGGAGGGTTGGGCAAAACAACTCTTGCAAAGAGATTGTATAACCACAATGATGTTAAGAATCACTTTGATTGTAGAGCATGGATTTATGTATCCAAAGAGTACAGAAGAAGAGAGATCTTGCAAGGAATTATTACAGATGTAAATGCACTTAACAGAGATGAAATGGAAGTTTTGGAGAAATTGAAAGAGGAAGAGTTGCTGAAGAAGCTGCATGAATTCCTGGAAGAGAGGAGGTATTTAGTCGTTCTTGATGATGTGTGGAGTTTGGAGGTTTGGGATTGTCTAGAAAATGCATTCCCTAGTGGGAAAACTGGAAGCAAAGTGATGCTCACCACCAGAAATAAGGAGGTTGCTCTGCATGCTGATGGAGGGGGCATTCCACATGAACCAAGGATTTTAACGGAGGATGAAAGTCTAAAATTGTTCTGCAAGAAAGCATTTCATGGAATGAACAGTCTTCCCCCTGAATTAAAGAAGCTTGGCAGGGATATGGTAGTGAGATGTGGTGGCTTGCCACTGGCAGTGGTAGTGCTTGGAGGATTGCTCTCCCGGAAAATCAAGTCAACAGAAGAATGGCACCGCGTTCTTCGTAACATCACCTGGCACTTAACCAAAGGCCAAGACCGGATAGCTGCCATTTTATCACTAAGCTACAATGATCTCCCGTCCCATTTAAAATCTTGCTTTCTCTATCTGGGACTATTCCCGGAGGATGTCTGTGTCCAGACGAAAAAACTGATCCATATGTGGGTCGCAGAAGGATTTTTACCACAAGAAGGTGAAGAAACAGCTGAAGGCGTGGCTGAGAAATGCTTAAATGAGTTGATTGACCGGTGCATGATTCAAGTGGGAAGATTAAGTTTACTTGGCAGAGTCAAAACAGTCCGTATTCATGATCTTCTGAGAGACCTTGCCATCTCTCAGGGAAGGGAGGAAAATTTCCTTGAAATTCATCATGGAAACAAGGCAGAGTCATCAGAATCTACCTCAATAAGATCCCGAAGGCATGCTATCCATTCTCGCTATGACCAGTATGCTTTCCTGAAACACTTTGCTCCTCATTTACGCTCCCTTCTGTTTTTCAATCGAGAGTATAATGTAGATGTGGCAAGGAAGAGAAAGATAATTGGTTTCAGGTTTGAGAAGAAATTGAATGTCATTTACAAGAATTTTAAACTGCTGAGGGTCCTGGATTTGGAAGGTGTACGTGTTGTCAGTCTCCCAGACACAATTGGAAGCTTAATTCAACTAAGGTATCTAGGATTGCGGAAGACAAATTTAGAAGAGGAGCTTCCTCTATCTATTGGAAACTTGCAGAACCTAATAACCTTAGATTTAAGGTATAGTTGTTTTCTTAAGAGGATACCAAATGTCATCTGGAAAATGGTGCATCTCAGACATTTGCTCCTTTATACTCCATTTGATTCCCCAGACAGTTGGCATTTGAGGATGGACACCTTATGCAATCTCCAGAGCCTACCATATATAGAGGCTGGAAGTTGGATAGATGATGGTGGGTTAGCTAACATGACTAATCTTCGACAACTGGGCATTGATGGGTTGTCAAGAGAACAGGTTACTTCTGTCATTTCAACCATAGAAAGACTGCAGGACCTTCAATCTTTGTCTCTGCTGCTAATCGAACTGGAAACGTTTCCAACACTCACAGGACTTTCTAACTGTGAGCACCTTCAGAAGCTGTGTTTCTATGGAAAGATGGAGAAGCTACCTGACCCACAAGAATTCCCATACAACCTGATTAAGCTAACCCTTTACAATTCCCAACTGCAGAGGGATGCAATTACCAAATTGGAACGACTACCAAACCTTGAAATGCTTGTTTTGGGTGATGGGTCATACAATTGGAGAGATATGACTTTCTCCTCTGAAAGTTTTCCTAAACTGGAGATCCTTCGACTTCATCTTCTGAAAGAATTGGAAGAGTGGATAGTTGAAGAAAGGGCAATGCCAAAGCTCAAGCATTTGGTGATAAACCGTTGTGAGAAATTAAAAAAGATTCCAGACAGACTGAAGCAATCAACTGCCCTCAAAGAACTAGAAATTGTTGGAATGCCAGTTGAGTTTGAATACAGACTCAGAACTAAAGACTTCTTTGAGTTCAAACACACCCCATCAATCAAATCGACCACAGACATGTTGGCAATAGGTACGCTAACCTTTCAATAGACTTGTTATTTAAATAAAAATGGAGCACTTATATTAGCATGAATTAAACCTTACTTTCTACATCTGCATCTCGGTTTGCAGGTCTTGGCAGTCACCAAAATGTTGGTTGGCCAGAAGCACAATTCGGTTGACTGAACATTCTTCATATGTTATGAAGATACAGATTGTATTCATTCTATTGCTTTCTTCTGCAATTCTCTATGAGCTACAATTCTGCCATTGCACAGATAGCTCGGACATGTCTACCTGTAAGGCAAGTACATATTAACTTTCCTGGACAGCTTGTTGTGAACAAGGGTATAAGTTGTTTATCAGTAAATAAACCATAAAAAATAGAAAATTTTAGCGAATAAAATGTATGTGCTATTAGCTTTTACCAGGATTACGATTCTTCAATCAGATCATCAAACAACTAGTTGTGTCCAAGCCATGATGTATAAAACTAACAAAGCAACAAGTTTTCCGAATCCAACAAGATGTTTGTGATGTTTATGGCACCTTCGTGTGATAGAAGCAGAATACCTACAACTGAATTTTTTGTACATTACCAACTGAAGACCTGCCATATTCCAATAATTTCTTTTCCATCAAAGAGTCTGATACCATAATCAATATTATCAAGACTCAATGATTTATCTCCGTTAACTAATGCTTATTAAAGATGCGGTCATCGCAGGCTTTATTATTGTCTACTGAGTTTTCTAATCAATGGACATATTGCTGCAAAACAGAATTGTCTCTCTTCTACCACAACTGTCATCAGTTCATTGTTCTCAAGTAGTGAACAAGTTTTGACCAATAATATCGAGGTGAATGGTTTCTGCCTAACCCTATGATATGTGAAAGCTTTAACTTGCAGACGACCCAGATTTTAGAAAGCTTGGTTAACAGCATTAATTCCTACATGATATATTGCCTCCAGAATTGTGAAATCATGTTTTCTACTTTTTTTTTCACTCGGTCTACTAACAACACCATCATTTCATCCATGTATATTCAAACCCTTCATAGCTATTTCACGATTCAATGCAAAATAATAAGATAACAGAAATGGATAATCTTCACACAGTCCAATGAGACTCACACGAATAAAATTCTTTAGAAATGGATACTCTTCACATAGTACAGTGAGACTCACAAGAATGAAATTCTTTCTTTCTACTTCTTAATCTCATTTATATTATTGTTGATGGATAACAATAGAAGAGTGTAAAGAAAACTATGGACAGAACAAATGTATTTTTTAATCATTCCTAAACTAAGGACAGAACAAATGTTTTTTTCAATCATTCCTTCTTGTTGGGCTTAACAATTTGAATACAAAGTTATTGAAGAAGCAGGAACGTTTTTCAGAAGGTTTGGGGTGATGCCCTTGTAAAATCAATGAAAACCCTCAAACCTGCAGGTCCTCAGAAGCAAATGAGATCAACATACAGAGGAAGGAAATAGCAATTAATAATATTTTCAGTGTTTAATACAGATTAAATTTTATTCCTCAGCAATAATGATGTTAAATTTGGGTTTGAATATGTTCTCACCATGCAGTTTCCTTCACAACATGTCAACTACTCATATATCTTGGAAGTCCCTCATTACTAGGTTGTTGCTGCATAAGATAGGAGGTAATTCCAAATTAGAGCCTTTGATACAAATTCAAATTCCAGAACAGTAAGTTGCAGATTATCTCAAGTCAACTTCACTATCTGTCCCATTTATTCATCAATGTTTAAGGAAATATCCCTGCAGCCTCATGAAAGCCTTGTTTATTCCAACTTAAAGCATTTTTTCAAGTCAAATGTATTCATAAATGAAAGTTTAATTTTTTGATTACCTATGATTGAGTTTGAATAACCTGAAAAAAAAAAAAAAATTCCCCACCCTCATTAGGCACCATGACCAGCCAGCTGAGAGAAGATGAATATATACAAAGACTTCATACCAATTATAAGCATGCATACCTGAAATGGAAATGTAACAAGAATGGCAGCAATTTTAGAAGACCCCCCCAGCGCAGCATAATCAAATGAATTCTGTGCAAAATACTAGGGATTGTTACAAATCATTACCCATTGCAGCCTCCTTGCATGGTTGAACCACAAGGAGACTGCAAAAGATCTTGATAGTATCATGTTCAAACTACCAAAGTCAGCAAGAGGGTTATAACAGAAAACAATCCTAACATATAACACTACAATTGATGATTCAGTTGTAGAAATTCACTTGTTCAAAGAGTGTTTTTGTCTGCTTAGCATGCTTAAACAAGCAAATTAACAAAGCTGCAACTGCTTCTCAAATAAAAACTTAAGTAAATAATGAAATATCTCCAGATGTATTTGAGTTTGTTAAACCATGTACGCATGAAAACACAGTAAATATAGGCACTTGCGGGCATACTCCCAGTCTCAAGCTTGTACATCAACTGGTATGTATCAATCAACATTTATTGTAAGGGAAACCCAAAGTTCAGACAAACGGAAACTGCATGTGCATACCAACAAATTTTGGCACTTTCAGATTTCCATTTTCTCTCTTTATAATCAACCATTATTCTATGAAGTTCCTCATATGCAGTGAACTGAATAGCTCCATGGGAAACCTGCTGAAGTTAAAATAAGCATTGTAAATTGCAAAAGTATAGGGAATAACATAAGCTATACTACTACTTAAACAACTTGGAATTGTTTAGCTCCGAGATATTCAAATGTTGAAAACCCTATATAGTGATGTAAAAAGTGAGAGCTGAAATAAGAATAAAACAGTCAGCAAACTACCATCAAGAGACCATAGTATGGTTCTTAAGGCATCTGAAATGATTAAGACATAAAACAATATTAAGGGACTAGCAGCATTAGGAAAGGCCATTATATGCACTCGATAACCATTTTCTATGATTGAAATTCCGGGTGAAAAGAATAAAGGTACAAAAGGTATTCATCTTGAAAAATAAAAAACAGCTCTTGATCATCTATCATTTTCAAGAGGGGGGCTAAATTCACAACCAGAATGCTGAAAAGCATATCTGATTTGTAGAGTTCAATCATCTATAAAAATATCAACCAGCATAAGAAATCTACATATAAAAGGTGAATCTTCTAAAATTTCATGAATCGACTTTCCTGCAGGAGATTGATATCCAACCTAATTGCTTGCTAATAATTGGAGTCAGAGTTAATATGACTCATTAAGGATATGGATATCTCAGAGCATTTTTCTAGCAAATTAACATAAGATGAAGAGCAGACCATAAACACCAAAGTAAGGTCAACTTTGATGAAGAGAAATCTGAAGCTGCAATCTTGTTTTTATAACCCAAATAGGATTTGTGCACAAGGAAACCTGAAAAGGCAACAAGATTGAAATTGTTAAAAGAATACAAACTGTAATGTATCTTAATTAACACCAATTAGAGACCAATCCAACAAAGCATCAGCGTTGAGAATATGAGTATATGACTACTTTAAACCAAGACCATTCAATTAGTATCTAACTGCATCAACAACTAAAAAGGTAAAACTTAGATTGGCAATTCTTAAAAACAATTGCAGTCACATGCTATTGGCATTTAGCATCTTAGACCACCAAACATGCCACAATAGTAACCCACCCATCCTAATAGACTTTAAGCTCAGTTCTCAATAAATTTTACTATTAAAAAAGAAATTCTTTGAGTCTTTCTAATATCAGCAGTCGATTTTGAAACTATTAATAAGTGTTAACCTTCTGTCTTTCCTCCAAGTCTTATTGTTTGAAGTTTGTATACTCACCAAAGCTCCAGCTTCTGCAGCAGAAGCGAGATGAAGACCAGGGCTCAGCTTCTCCTCCCTGCTTATAGAATACCTTTGTTTAGCTCTGCCATAGCTACAAATAGTTTAAAAAAAAACCACTTTAGAGTGATTGTCACAGTACATTTTTTCAACAAATCAAAATACGTTAGCTCTTTGTATTCCCCATTGCATATTAAAATCAATCTATTTACATTAAAAAACATCAGCATATATGTAGTTAAGCTGCAGTTAAATTCACATGTGCACATATATTTGACAACAAATGTACTGTAATCAAAAGGAAAAGTTGTACCATATAAATTGATGATGGCACTTACAAGAAGAAATATAAACCCCATGAAACAGAGGACGCTAAAACTGCAGGAAAGAAGTCTGCATAAAGCCCTCTCAAACCCTGCATGACAAACCCATAAACTGTTAGCATATATCCAAAGAAAAACGGCATACAAAAGAGAAACTCTAATCTCAAATGAAAGCGAGAAAGACCTCAACTTTACATGAAGAGAAAAGAAAATTGAAGTACCTAAGCCTAATTAAATGAAAAAAAAAAAAAAGAATAAAAATAGCGAGAACCTCTAAGCGAGTAATGGTAAAAATGGCGTAGGCGGTGTTCTTGTAAGTCGGGAAATTGGTGAGTCGACCAGCGTTAACTATTTGAAAACTCGATCCACTCAGCACCAAAAAGACTGAAACTTTTTGTCTAAACTATATGTATATATAAAGAACGAGGTGGAAATAGAAGAAGAAGAGGACGACCTTGAAATCTCGTACGAACGATGTCCAGAGGGTACATCGCTGCGACGGTGGCGAAGCCCGCCACTCACCGGCGTTGCGTTCCCCCATTGCCACTGTGATTGTGACATTTCTTTTTGAAAAAATAATAATAATGAAAAGGAACCGGCCGTTTCGAATTACGGCGATACTAGCAGCTAGTGAAGAAGCAGCAGCAAAAACAGGCGGGGAGCCTCGACCGCCGATCACATCTTGCGCTGCCGTTATTTCTGGTTCATTTAATTGGGCTCCAAGCGTACAACAACCTTTTTCTGGATGAAAACGGCACAATTAGTCGGGCTTGGTTTCTTTTTGGGCCTTCTGTCTTTAACTAATTATAATCCATGAAGGTCTAATCGGAAGAGAGCTTTTGGAGTATTTGTCCAAGTCTAACCAAGAGATTGAATTTGCTTGATAAAAATGCCCAAACCTTAACAACTTTTATTGTTTGGCATCAGAAATGCTTCTGCTGGACCAAAAAAAGAAAAAACGCTTCCCAGATTGTGAACAGCTGAACATGTTTGAGGTGAATTGAACACATAAAACATGTTTGTTCTTCGGCTGTATATGTCTTATGATTTGGTTAAAACACTTTTACCACAAATTGACTTGAGTAATAAAGCGACACAACCTGGTCCTAATCGAAGTTGAACAACAAATAGACAACTCCAGTCTCCAATGATTTTTTTTTCTTTTCACTTTATTTGACATTTATCTCTGTTCCAGGATACAACTGATTCATAGCAGTAGCCAGTAAAGATTCACAGAAATTCATCACGGGAAAATCGAAACGATGGTTTGTGAAGTGCATCTATCATCAAAATTTAGTTCTACAACAGGTGATTTACAATCATTAAGAAATTATAATGATGACCGATGAAAATGAAAACAAAATATCAACTCAGCTACGCAGCAAATCAAAATTTCAAAGAATGTTCTAGCTTTGTCAATAAACCCCTGAATTGATCTCCTTCACCTGACAGTAATCCTGTCAATTATACATCAATATCAGTCAATCTGCATTTTAACAAACCATTCGCAAATGCCTGACACTTATTCTTTGTCCCATTTTCCTCAGAGAAGTCTAGCAAAGTTAACAATCAAAAATAATTCGTTACTGAAATTTCATAACATAATTTTCATCCATACAGTAGAGCAGTATCAAATTTTAATGTAACAAATTAACAATATTCCCCATATTTCAATTAAAAATACCCATAACTTCCATTAATAATCACCTTCCTTTTTTTCCATGGTTGGCTCGACCATGTTCTAACCAATGCCTAACATACTAACAGAGGTTGTAGCATGGTTCTGCTTCAGTTCATCCTTTCCTACATCATCACCAGCCCTTAGCTCATGTACATATACTCCTGTATGTTTCTTCAATTGCTCAACATGAATTATGTGCCCCCATCATTTATAACTGCAATGTTTTAATTTTGGTTTGACATTTTCATTTACCAGTCATCATCATAACAAATGTTAGGTCGTCAATACACTACCAAATGCAACCTCTAACCCTTTTCTCTTTCCCTACTCCCACTCTTTCCCTAAAGTCCTTTATGGTTCTAAAATAAGAGAACCTCACCCAAGAAAATAATGAACATAAACTTGTACTCTGAATTTTACATTCATTAACTAATCTTACTATATCAGCAACAACTACAATTAATTTTCTTGGTTTCTGATTATCAAGATACACAAATAACACTAACAATAGCAATAAACAATGCTAACTGCAAGATTTGTGTTCCCAAGTACATCATTGATCTGATTACAGAAAATTAAAATTTGTAAATGTAGTTTATATCTATCCACAATCCAGTACTACATAGATTATTCATCTCTCTTCTGTCCAAAGTCTCCCAAGGTTCTTGAATGATACTATCCATTCCTATCATTGATAATGATAAACCTCTATATCGCCATTTGCTAATATTCCCAAAGAATACAGTGCTTAAAACAGACTAATAGAAGCAACTATTATGAAGAAGTTATAAACATCTATCCTTAATCATCTCTTTTAAGCAATAGAAGCTAAGACTTTAATAAATCATCAAATTATAAATACAAAACTTAACTCAGATTATCAAAGCTTAAAAAACCAAAAGCCCATTAAAAAAAATCAAAATCAAACAAAATTCAGGTTACCTCACTCCATGGAGACTTTCGCTCCAACATCCTTCATCTTCTGAATAATCTTCTCAGCTTCCTCTTTAGTAACCCCTTTCTTCAACAAAGTAGGCGCCTTTTCCACCAAATCTTTAGCTTCTTTCAATCCCAAATCCGTAAACCCTCTAACTTCCTTAATCACCTTAATCTTAGCCGCCGCATCGAACCCTTCAAGCTTCACATCAAAAACCATCTTTTCCTCCTTCTTCTCTTCCCCTTTCCCGGGCCCACCAGCCCCGCCTTTCCCGGCTCCTTTCATGGCCCCACCAAATCCCATCCCTGGCATCATCACTGCCATGATTGGCATCTCTTTAACATCCATTTTTTGGCGGAGGACTTCGGTTAAGTCCATGACCTCGAGCAGAGTCAAACTAGTGAGTTCATCGACGATTGCGGCGACATTTTCGGAAGGAGCTTGTTTGGTGGGTTCCTGTGATGGGGTGTTGTAATTTCGTGTGAAAGTAAGGTTAATGTTGTTTAAAGATTGGATGGAAGAGAAAATGCTTGGATTTTGATGAAGAGTTTTCTGGATTCGACTTAAATGAGAACAAAAAAACCGTAAGTTTCTCATTTTTTTTTTTCTAATTTTTCGTTTCAATTTTCAATTTGGCTGTTTTTTTTGTTTTAGTTCAATGAAATCATGGGATGGGATGGTGAGGAATTAAAGAAAATTACGAAGATTCGAGAGGGGTTTAGGCATAAGCCCTAGTGGCAAAAACGGGTCGGGTAAATTTTGGGCTTGAAGTTTAGCCCAAACTATTCAGTTCCAATTTTGCATGGAAATAAAGAAGTGACTGAGTGAGCAAACTCTATGGAAAGGTGGCAGTTAGAGGTGGAAAAAAAATAGAAAATTTTGAAAATCCATTTAAATTTGTAGTTTTTGTTTGCTTACATTTGGATTGGTTTTGTTTTTATTTAGTTTAGATAGGATATTATATATATATATATATTAGATTTAAATTAAATTTTAAATTAAAAATTTAAAAATTTAAAAAAATCGATTTGAATTATATTTTTTTTAATTTTTATATATATTTTAAATTTTTATAAAATAAAAATAATAATTTTGTATTAAAAATTGCTTAAATATATTAAATTTTTATATTAAAATAATATATAAAAATTAAAAAAATAAAAATCAATAAATTAAATTAAATTGAATTGATAAAATTCAATTTTATTTTGTTTAAATCAATTAAAAATCAAATTCAAATTTATGTTAAATTTTAATTTTTATAAATTATATAATATTTAAAAAAATCGAGTTAAATTAGATTTGAACCGTAATATTATCACCCTTACTTGAGAATGACATGAAACTTAAATCGACCCCAAGTCAAGAGTCAAAAAGAATTCAACTTGATGTAAAGTGTGAACCTGACTCTACATTACATGAGTTCCATTGGTTCCCATTATCTGACATAGTACTCACGTAACCTTGTCTTTGTTCTTGGGTCTTTTAAGGTGACTCTGGACAGTAGCCAGAGAAACAGAAGAAAACAAGAATGAAGAGGAAAGCCATTACATCAACTTTTCAAGGAATGGAGAGACGGCTCACAAGGCTGCAAGCCAAGGCCACTGCTTCTTCTTCAACTGTAATGTCTCCCTTTTTTTTTATCACTCTCTCTGTGCGATGTTATCAATGTGTACGCAGTCTGACTTTAAAAAAGAAGATTTTTGGCTTGAGATTTTGAAAAAGACTTTTAGTTTTTTCTTTTATAACTTTTATTGAAAGTGATCATTTTTTTGGTTGCTGGGACAATAGTTCTTTTATTTTCATTTTCATGGGTTTTTTTTTTTTTTTTTTTTCATTTTCATGGGTATGTTGGGGTGAAAATGCTGGAAGGCTTTTGGTTTTTTCTTTTGGTCTTCTCTTCTCCTCTCCATTTTCATGCGTAAAATCCCTTTTTTGTTGGAGCTTGGTTCTTATTTCATGAACTTTGAGGCAACGTAGCTGATACTTAATGATGAAATGGGCTGCTCTCTGGGGAATGGCTGCAAACAGTATGGGTATTTTTTTAATGAGTTGCATTTATGCTATTAGGATACTTGACCGACTGCCTAGGATGGATTGTCATCTTGTTACCTGATTCTTTTAGCCTCATTAGACTTGAATTAGTTAATCTTTGGTAAGGTGTCCTTTCTGGTTGGTTCATTCTGGCTACGCTTTGGGATCCTTGTTGAAGTTTGTATTTCAACTTCATTTATTAATAAAATTACTTTCCTTTTAAAAAAACCTCACTTTTTTTTTTCTTTTTTCGTGGTGGTTTGGACTTTGTAAACAGAATTTCTTACTCAAATTGTTCTGTTGTTACTTTTTAATGCTGGTACCCTTTTTAATATTTGACCATCTGTAGGCAGTCAAACAGTCCTAATGATTTTATAAATCAACAAAGAATTTATTATTGATAATCCTGAGGCTAAGCCTAAGCCTGTTATACCTTAATGCTTAATGAGTACCAAAACTGTTTCAAATGCAAAGACCAGTATAAAGTGGGTTGAGTTTTGCTAAAGTGCTTTCTCTGGTGGAAATATGTATATAACTTAGCAATAATCTTTTAACTTCTGGCTGTGGTTGTGTGTGATTGGTGGTAATTTGTCAGAAGGAACAACTCCTTTTAGGGACAAGCATGAGGCTAAGGGCGTGTTCTTTATCTTCTATGATGCATAAGCCTGGTTACTATGTGTGGAGGCTAGTGTGCTTGCTTTCTTTATGCTAATGTGTGGTGGTACATCCCTTGAAATATAACTATGTTAGAGAAATTAACCTCATGTGCTGATTGAAAATTGTTTTCATCAAAAGTATTTGTTGATTTGTTTTCAATTTTAGATTGACTTGAATTATCTTAGGAAAAGATGTATGCCAAGTTTCACTTTCAATGCCTTGATATATCAGTATCAAACATTGGTTTTCAACCCCTTGTTTTCTCAGGCACAAATGGATTCTCTGTCCTCCAAGTCTCCTAGTCAAATTGCAAACTTAGTCCCCAATCAATGTGTATCCTTGCCATCATCAAAAGGGTTCAAAGAAACAGAAAATGCCAATATCCCAGAGTTGGAAAAATCAGGGAATGAATCAATCCCTACCCTGAAGGGTAGAAGTTGCCTTCAAGAATCAGACCAGAATTCATCTTCTAGCACCTCAGCAGGACTTCGTCTACAATTGGCCTTTTCATTGGACCGGTAGAAATATTTATCAATTCAATTCAGTGAAACTTTATTTTCTTGTGCAATTTTTTTTTTTCTTTCGGATGGAATACAATTCTCTTCTATTATCTTTCATCTGTCTTTTGTGTGGTTGTGTGCATATACCTTCTCCCATCTGTTTTCTTATCTTCTGAGATACTAATTATACACTAGCATTTGGTATCTTGTGCAATTTACTGAAAATTCTAGTTCCCAATCTTTATATGTTTCATAATGCAGCAGAGCTCCTTCTAAAATCATATGTGATTTTTCCTATAGGTGTTATCTCCAGCTCAAGTTGATTCACCTACTGCCCCCTCTGGATATGTACAATCGCATGCAATTGTTGGTGATAAGACTAAAGAATACAATAACATCCGGATAGCAGAGACATCTATAGAAAACAATTCAGCATCTGAGGGTACTTTCAACACAGAAAACTTCAACTCAAAGCTTGTGGGTCAAAATCAAGGCAGAGAGGAATCTGACCGTGATGCTCTTGCCCTAGTAACTGCCAAGAACATTAGTGGAGTCACTGTAGAAACTATTACTTCTAACACTACCTCAGGTAGACAAGTAGCCCCAGAGGAAGCCAGAGTCATATCAAATGTTGTCTTGGAAATTGCCAAGGAAGTTAACAGTTGTAAGACAACTGATGAACATCTAAGACCAACTTACAGTATTGGCCTGTCTGAAATGGCTAATATGTTTGCTGCTGATGATTCCAATCAAGATGAGGTCCAGTCGTTTTTGTTTGATCCTGCCTTGATCTCAGTTCAGGGATATAGAGTGAAGGAAGCATCTGCTACCATTCTTAGAAATGTAATGAAGAAGCATGGAGACATAGCTAGGAATTGCTTTGTGGAAACAGTGGAGAGTCGCTCTTTTTTCTTGGAGAAGGTATGTGAAATCATACAAACATTGCAAACAACAAAATTTGTAAACATTACACAAACTGAAGTCGAGAAAATGCTTGCCCTTGTTGGCGACCTCGGGAGAGTGAATCTGGGCGTTGGCTGGCTCCAAAAAAGGTTAGAGGAGATTTTGGAGGTGATAAAGCTGATAAAGCAGTCTTCGCAATTGAAGGAAAGCAGGGGAAGAAATGCTCAAATCATTCAGGAATCGAAGAGGGCATTGAAAAGCTACGAAGCTAGGATACTGGTACATGAGGCTGAGATAGAAGCACTTAAAGAAAAAGCCAGTTTGGAGAAAGAGAAAATGAATGCAGCACAGGTCGAGGACAGAATTATCACACAAAGAGTCTCAAATTTGAAGCCCAAAGTGAAGCTCTTTATTAAAGAATCATTTGTTCATGACCTGCAATGACTCTTTGGAACTCAATGGTCTGATTTTCTAATTCACCAAGACCAAGTTTCCAGAGACTTTTATCTGGTTATAGTAGAGAATATCTTGTTGTTCATAAAACTCATTGGAAACCATATGTTTAATCTCTACCTTAAACTCTACATCACAGAATGCTTTTGTTGCATTTGATTTGAAGCTCCACAGGGTATTGACAATATTTCTTGCTTGTCCAAACAGCTGTTATATCCACTTTAATCTCTACCGTGAAAGTCTAGATTCCAAAATGCCTTTATAGCTTTTGATTTGAAGCAATTATATCTTTTTTAAAATATTAGTTATATGATTTTGTTGGAATTAAACCAAACTTTATATTTTTACCATATAGTTAATACTTTATTAAGAGTTATTTTATTTATGAGTCTTTTAGGGATAAAGCCTGTCCCAACTGTTCTATGCGATTGACTTAAAAGTTCCAAATTAGAAGAAACAGACTGTCTTTTATGAGTATGTAAAGTCTAGATTAACATATGATTTTTTGGACATAATTTTGAATGTTTATGTGGAAATCTTGAAGTCATGGATATGTACTCGAACTTTGTGTCAACCCAAACAGGGAACTAAGTGAAATTGTTGGTCCATCCTTTTCCAGGTTCATTATTTCTAGAGATTTTAAAGAGAACTCATGTCAAGAAAAATTAAGATTTATTTTTTACTTATTAGCCAAAATTTTTATAAACGGACACCACATATTCTGAAACCTTGATCATAAGCAAAATGTAATAAATTGCACAAATGAATTTCTTTTTAATTCATTGGAAAGAAGGAAAGCAGATTACATAGAACAGGAAACCATATACAAACTTTATCCATAAAATTATTTACTTCTAACACCAATTAATAAGCATTAACCTTCCTGCAATTGTTTCTGATCTCACCCCTATAACCTGTCAGTGGTGAGATATTTCCCATGTTAATCATGGACTTGGCAAATTGCTGAAAGAAGAGTTTCTGGTTGTAGGCGTATTTCTTCACTAATTCCCTCGATACAGGATTCTTGGTAAACAGAACTTGGTCAGAGTTCAACAGGCCCTTGTAAGCCAACAAGTTCTTGAAGTAGCTGTTATCAAACTTTATAGGGCTCACAAAATCTAAGAAAAACAGGTTCTGGTCACCACTTGATCTTGGACAATTGGTGCGCAATTGAGCAGCATATGATTGGTCAAGCGTGTAGTCTGGTTGTCCATTGCCTGATTGGTTGTAAAGTCTCTGCCTGAAGCTGGTGCATCGGGCGTTTCCAATAGTATGGCTCCCTGAACGAAAAATATGGGGAACCTGGTCAAGCTTTAAGAATATATAAACATGTTATACCTGCTTCAGGTTTCCAGAAAACACATTCAAGAATGTTAATCGAGTAAGTGTACCAGAAAGTGCTACAAGATCAATAATGTTCAGGCCTTGTAGCTTGAACTTGGTGAGAATCGTTTGAAATGTATTGTTTGGAGCAGGAATAGTGTTGTTAGAGCCACTCAAGCTTGCTCCTCTGGAGTCCCTCCTTCCAAGAGGGACTTCCCAGCTAGGTCCACCGGTCTGCAAATCCAAAATTTGTTATCAGAATGGCAAATTTTAGCTAATAGAGCAAGGCAATTTCAAGGCTGTAACAAAAGGCTGAACTAACCAGAACAGTAGAATCTCTAGCAGCCAGGGCCATAATATCAGCGCATGATACTGTATGAGGACACTCTTTCTCCAGTGCAGCTTTGATCTCATCTATGACTTCAAATCCTCTAGCTGAGTCCCGGTTTGGATTTGACCTCTTTTCGCTAGTTATAGTCCCGCTGCTGTCTAACAAAATTGCTGCATCACAGCCCTGTGACAAAAAACAAGGTTTTTATAAGACAGAGAGTACTAATAACTTTGTGATGTCCTAAAACTGTTCTGTTAATCCTTATCAGTAAATCATAAATTAGCTCATCAAATGAATATCATGATGCTGCTAATATATATAGAAATGAAATTAAGAGAAGTGAGGGTGATTGCTTTGGCAAGTACAACTGTTGAAGACCTTGACAAAGCAGTCGTGGAAATGTAGCCTAAGCAGTGAAGCGGCCATACGGGGATCCTTTGCAACAGCTTTGGCTACAACGTATTTTACAATCTCTTAAGCTTTCGGACATGAGTGATCGTAAAACTGAGGGTAGAGGTATCCTCCTTCAAAAGTCCTGCCAGAGAAACAAAGGGGAGATAGGGCAAGAAGAGAAAGAACTATGATAACGCCCATGGAATGAGCCATATTGTTTCTTACAGCCTCCTACGTACTTTGTTTTGTCTTTTCACCTTTTTAGACCAAAATCTAGACAGAAGAAAAAGCTGACGAAATATGAAGAGAAACTTTCAGAACATGCTATGATGAGAGCGCTCAAGGGGTACGGGTATTTGTAAAGGAGACTTCGTTTTGAATGGTCGTCATAGAGATGACAGAAGATTTGGTGACTTGCTTTGCAACAATCAAGAACAGGAAAGAAATGGAAAGGTTGGAGTTGGTAGTAATATGCCATTATTTGCATGCAACTGCTGATCAATTCCCATGGAATAGAGTTGTAATTAAGCAAAATACGCTGAGGTCTCTAGGCATGATTATCCAATAAAGCAAGCTTTCGGATTAGCTGATCATCATTTGATAAACATATGTAGAAACGATTTAATCCTCTGGTTCTCCACAACATTGTCTCCTTGGAAATGTTAGTTTTTATTTTTTTAATTTTTTACAAAAGAAGCTGCTAAATGAAGATAAAAAAAAAAAGTTGCAGATGTTGAGATTACACTCTAAACATGTTAATGATATCCAACCATGGATCAATATCAGCAAATGAGCACTTCTAAGTGCTGACTGAGGATGAGATGTCAAATGTTTAAAATGGACATCCATTTTCTAAAGCGAAGAAAGTAATTCTTGATCATTCTTTTCGTTATTCATCTCTTTTCCTAAAATTCATTTGAAGCCAAAATTTTGTGTGCAGGAATAATGAAGGTCATCATGACGCAATAGGATTATTGGCTTACTTAACTTAGAGATTACAAGATTAATTATAACAGATACCAGTTATTAACTTAACACAACTAATCAGCAAATCATCAAATACACTTGAACCTGCTCAACCTGAAATGATTTAAAATTCGGCTGGGTCCAGGCATCAGGACTCGCCGCAGAGCCCGGAACTGAAGTCGTGTCAGTTGCCAGAGCCTTGGCCGTATTACCTGCCGCTGTGTATAATGGTATCAGAGCCTAACAACTTGCCAAGATAGTGAGAAGAAAAGTATGTTTCTAAAAGATTTGATTATTGGAAAATTGGAAAAGGAAAAGCCAAAAAAGAGTCTTACTTTCATGGATCTATCCACTCTTAGCAACTCTAGTTCTCAACCATCTTCTTCTAGATCTTCTTTTAGTCTATCCTCTCTTCCCTCTCCTGTACTTAAAAAGTCCTCCTCTTCTAAGCTTAAGTTCTTATATGAAGTAGATTATATTCCAGAAGAAAAGAAAACCCAACAAACAGTCTTACCCCTTGTAAATCCTTATACAGCTTTCTCAAACTCCTCTCCTTCTCTTACTAGATCTTTAAAAACTCTTTTAAAACCCAAATATCCAGCTCCAAAAGAATGTGTTCAAGCCACAAACTTTGATCAATGTATTCTTCCAGCAGGACCCCAAGAGCACTTTGTTACTCTTCAGATCCCAGAAGAATTTCCTCACCAGTGGTCAGAACAAGGATACACTCACATCCACTTTGGTGCTATCAGAATTGCTTTAACCTTCCATGGTAGAAATGGAATTCCTGTTTGTACCAAAATGGCCTTATTGGACACCAGATTTAAAGATTACAAGCATGCAGTCCTTGGAATCGTCGAGACGACCTTCAATGCAGGAACTGTCTTCTTCACAGTCTTCCCAAATTACAATATGTCTCTTCATGATCCAACCCTGTTAGATACTTTAAAAGTTCAAGTCCAGATCGTAGGCACAGAAATGAAAGGCCTCCAGGCAACCCTTCACTACCAAATGGCATACAGAGTTCAAGATCATGCCATTAACTTGCCTCTTTCACACTCCAGTGATGCAGTCTTTGTTAAAATGGAAACAGTAGACAGAACTCCTAAACATGTTCATATTCCAAAGCAGATTTCCAATGAAGAACTTGCCACCCTTCTCCCAAAGACGTGGACGACAAGTTATCAAAAGATTTGGAAACAAGATGAGCCAATTGAACACTTTGATCCAACCTACAAGACAAACCAGGATGGTACTGTCACAATTGAATTTGATCACAGCAAAGGAAAGGATGTTCCACCTCCAACAATCTTTCCAACACAATTTATGATGCAAAGATGCCATGCTGATCTCCTTGATGTTCCAGTCACACACTTTCAGTCCAATGGAAATCCCGTGTATGCATATAAATCTCCAACAGGACATTGCTATTGGGACATAAATTCTCAATGCAAAGAATGCCAGATCGATGCAGATAAAAGCTTCCTGGATGATGATGATGATGATGATATTCCAAAGAAGCAAAAGAAGAAAAAGTCTTCTCAGCAAAAGCTCAAAGAAAGATATGAAAATGGAGACACTGAAGTTGATCTCCTTGGTGAACCCTCAAGAAAGTTTGACTACTATGTCATCTATCCTAAGAAAGACAAACCACCCTCTCAAACCTACTCAACTCAACCCACACACAAACCAAATTCCTCCCAAGATTCCACCCAACCTTTACCACAAATCTCCATGATGCAACCAACCTATCCCAACTCAACCTTCCCTCATTTTGAAGAATTTCATAAAGACCAATACAAACACATTCCAAAAATCCCCACTCCCACTGACAGAGATGAATATGGAAACCAAAAAAGTGTTTCTCGTGCTGAAACAGTTTTAAACTGGCAAACTGAAAATTCTCTCTAGCAAAATTCCTACTTGCACAGAATTGAACATAAGTTAGACCAAGTCAGTCAACATTTTGATCAGAGCT